ATTAAAAGGGATAGAAGAAGGCCAGCAAGCCAAACATTCCTGGTTAACCATGCACAGGCATTACATATATATATATATATATATATATATATATATATATATATATATATATATATATATATATATATGCCCACTTCTAATCTTGGTCTCGAAATTTGCACCCCAAAATATCCGTAAGCTTTAATCACAATAGTAGCTACATTTCACATAAGAGATACAAATGTCACTTTGAAACACATAGCAGTTGCTATCGGCTTTGTTCAGACATGCACGGGTAGTTTTTACAGGCCCGCTAATGTGTGAAAACGTGAATAGAAAGGAGAATAAAATTAGTTTGTTAAGAAAATAATTTTTAAAAACTATTAGGAAAATAATAATCAATCTGGCAAGGACAATTATTTTGATAAAATAGTACTTGAATTCGAGTTTCCATCAATAATTTTGGATTATCATATTTATTTCTATTGCTACAAAATTAGTTAGCAATGGCTATTTTTGTTTCTGTATCTTTTATGTTGTAGACCAATGTAATCAACGATTAACTAGCAAGAGTTGGTGACTAAGTAAAAATGAGAATGTGAAAAGATTGCTCCATCTTCCCAAAAACGTTAAGATTTTACAAGTACCAAACACTGGTGTGGGGTTGGCCAATTTCCTAAGAAATGATTAATCGCCCACTAGGCATACGCACATGTGACCGTGTTTCTTGACAATAAAAAAGGAAGAAGGAACCGTGATATTAACATCTGCATCTAGGAGAGCAAGTGTTATAATGAATAGAAATAAAGCAGCAGAAATGGGATTGCCAAGTGATGCTGAGCTATTTAGATGACTTTCGGACTTACTGAAATGATCAGCGAAATATATAACAACAGTTCCGCAGGATGGATGTCTGTAAATTTCATTAGCGCTTCCAAGAAAAGTAGGTGCGAATGGATGAAAATCCAATGAACAACCAGCTTTATGAGCCACATAACACGACATGAAATTTGGATTCTAATAAATATTTTGCAGCAGAATTAGATGTAGGAGATAATCAATGCAACTTGCTTCAATTGAGAATGGTAAATGGTATTTGCATGGACAGAATAACGTTCAAAAGTAGAAATAATTATACATGAAGACCAACTATTTGGTAAACAATACAAAGGCATTTCATAAATACAAGGATATGGCTCAAGCAGAAGTAGCCTTAACGAAATACTCTACGTCAATAATACTGTGATGATATTAGTAACCGATGAAAAACTGAAAGGGGTCTTATAGAAGGGAGTCGAGAAGAACTGAATAAATGTTAAATATAAGAACGCCTGGATCGATAGTTGCTGGCAAAGAGGGCACGTTAATGTTTTATTTACTCATCGACGGCGTCAAAATATATTCAAGTACGGAAATTCATATTACTAGCTATCCGGGCACTTCGAACTGATGTAATAGTTCCGAAGCTTGTATTTGCGAGATCAGTTACGACCGGGTAGTGAGTTCAATCCACACTGGGTGCTCCAAACTTTCAAAAGACCACTTTAAATGGTGTAATGGTTAGTAAACGAGTCTTCCTAGATCAATTATAACTGATTAGTGAGATCGATTCTATCTGTATGCGCTATACTTCCGGCCTTGCGCCACAACTAGACTACGCTTAGAAACTTAGTATATATACTATTATGTATAAACATAAAAATGTCTTAAAATATATATATATATATATATATATATATATATATATATATATATATATATATATATATATATATATATACATATATTATGTATAAATATAAAGATGTCTTAATATATATATATTTTTTTTTTCTTTTTTGAAGTGACGACGGAAATTTTGACAATGAAATCCGGAGATATACTTTAGAAAAAAAGGAATCAGCTAAAAGTAACATTAGAAAGGACTGATATAGACTTTTAAAAAATTACCTATACACTAGGGCAGAGAGAGAATGAAGGAAAGACTTGAAGTGGTTTGGATTGCTTTCTACAGGTGAATGAGGGTAATACCATGTGAAGAACGTGTTAAATAAAGAGGTTTTATTGAAAATAGGAACATGGAGAAAATGTTACTGCAAACAGCTGCAATATTTGTGGGCATAATCAGGAAATAATGAAAAGGGAAAAACGAATGCAAAATCATATTACGAACAAAAAAAAGAGAATTTAAATTTCCGTAACACATGAGAAAAGAAGACACGGTGAATAAAACACTCACAAGTAAAGTAAAGCAAGAAGCTTAGCGGATAGATAGCAGAGTGAGTGTAAACATGGTAATGACACAAACACTGATTAGATCGACAAGGAAGTGGTTATTGAGAAGATCCATTTCGCCGAACCGCGAAACGTTATGGTGCATAAAAATGAACACATATTCAAAAGTTCACGTGAAAACATAAAAAGAGTTCGATCCTCACTGGATACCCCATACATTCGACCTTGTATTACATCTACACTACGCATAGAAAAACCATTGTGACAACATAATTATTGCAAGAACTTGTCAAAGTTTCTAATATCTGATGCATGATTAAACTCATGTGTTGAGTCATAACTTATTTCAATTGTAATAATGAAAGTATAACCCTAAATACTGGTTTGGATTGGTATGTTTTACGGCATATCAACCTCAATGGGTAAATAACCATGGCGACAAGATTTTTATTGTTGGTAATATTTTTTTTTCAAAAATGTATTGCTGGTAATGTTATATGTAATAATTTTTTCTTCAAAAATTTGTTGCTGGTAATTTAAAAAAAAAGGTATTGCTGGTATTAAAACCTATTTTTACATTTTCATAGTGTTTTGACCCCAGTTTGAGGAGTAATTATTTGCCCATATTCGGGACCCTAAAAGGTGCTACCACCCCGGGTCAGGGTGGACCTAGGAAGAACAGCAATTAAGAGGTGGTTCCACACTCCTCAAATCCTCCTAATCAGAGGTCTTGCTGTTGGATGTAGTTTATCGTCATACCCACGACGGCCTAACAACTGATAATACTTGCCACTTGAGAATAAATTTGTTATGGCAGTTGATTGAGAAGGATTAATCTCCACAGTTAAGTGCCATACGTGATACAAGCTTTCGAATCATGGCTTTCGATTCATAGCTGACTAAAAAGAAAAAAAATTGCTGCAGGAAGTTGCTATTCATTTCTACGATAGAAAGATTGCCAACCAAGGCTACAGAGTACAGTCTGTCTTGCTATTCAACTCATGGCTGAGGGTGGATAAGAGAGATTTATACCTTTCCCAGGGGTATTTTCCCGGAAATGAATGCAACGATCCCTACTGAAAACTCGGCTCTCTGATTTCTCATTCCGAGCCGTTATCCATTACACCAGCCTACACATCAAACCCCCCACTTAGACGAGTACAAAATCCGAGCTCCATGTAAGCGTGTCAATTTTGTGAGTATGTTGCGATCGTCGCAGTATTATTCATTTAAATTTCGTAAAATGCAGTGAAATACTAAATGCATATTTACACATCCGGCCGCTGCAACGTTTCCACAAGAGTTTGCGCAAAAGCATCCTGAGATTATCAACAGAAAATATTTGCTGCTACTAGACTATGATAAATACCGAGACATTTGCGACCTACCGTAAATTATGATGCTCTCTACCAGAAAATCCACTTACGACCTACAGCAATTAATTCCTCAAACTACATACAGTGTTATTTTAACCTAAAGAGTGGGATATTTATCTAATTTGTATTCATATACATAGATATTTATGTAATTCCATTATAAAATAAACAAGTTGCCGCCAGACAAAATATTTCTATCCCATTTAGTTGATCACACTAGTAACATGCTAGCCAGAGAATCTTACAAAATAATGTCAATTGAAAATGAAACCATGTCCTGCTGAAGAGAGCACAATCTTATAGATAGAAAATAACCGCCGTATAGTAAAAACTAAATCGTATATATACTATAGTAGAAGATGAATAGTGGATATCAGACTATAGTAGAAAATTGATGCTGGGTATCATACTATAGTAGCACAAATATTTAGTTCTCCTCCAAGAAAACGTATGAAATCATCTATCATGAAAAACACAAGAAAAAAAATGACTGGATTCTACTACAGGTGGCATATTCATTTTTCTTGTATTAAACGAGAGTTCCGTTTTATTGATCGCTGCAAAAAGACTTGATGTTGAAATGTAATTGTACTTTATTGAGGAATAACTCTGAGAAAAAAAAACTGAAATTGTCAAAAATTCAACCTAATAATGAGATAAATATTGATAGCCGAATCCTAACGGATTGTTGTTAGGAAATTGCAATCGACGAACGTACTCTAAATTACTACTTGGCAAACTGCGTTTACTTTTTTCTTATGAAAAGTACTTGGGAAATTTTTTTTCCGATTGTTCAGGTCAAACATTACGTCTCGCATTTGGGAGCATATAAGACTCTAGATACTATCTCGTTTTACTAGAAAAAGAACAGAATAAGACATAATTTTATTTTCGCGAATGATTGTCTTGTGGACTGGTAGTAAGATGCAATAGACTGAGTTTTTCTCTTGATTATAGTTGAATTATAATATCCCTTGAAATATTTTTGAATTAACTTCTGGTGTTGATTGATAAAAATAGCATGATTTTTTTATTTTTATTTTTTTATAGAATCGCAGTGAATGACATGTGTCAGTTATTAACACAAAACGCTATTTTGATTGGAAACAATTGTGTTCATACTGATTACCTGTTTTGTTTTTCACAATCTTTTAGCCCCGTAATCTGTGTGTGTGTGTTTCTTTTTTTTGTTTTGTTTTTTTGTTTCTTTTTCAGGTGTATGCTTTGTCCTGGGATGCTATCATGTCTTATTCTTGGGAAACGTTCTCTTGCACCGATTCCGTGTCTTTGATCTACAGATACTCGTTATCCGACACATCAGTAAAATTAATAAAAAAAAAAAGAGATATAGTAAGTAAGAAGATTAAAGATAGAACGTTTTGCTCTGTTTAGAAAACTCGATAAGCGAACCGAGTATAGATGCTCGTGACTGCCATTAACATGGAAGCGGAGACAATGGGAATGAATTCCGCCTGCATGGCGTGAGAGATGAGAGGGGTGTTGACGACAGGTTTCTTGATGAGTAAAGATATTGGGTGAAAAACGTCATGGAGCATGTTCATTTAAGCCTTAAATATTAGATAGATCGAAGTTTTGGTTCATTGAGTTGACTTGAATACGGTACTTTTTGTTTTCTTTAAATTCTCTCTAACTTAGTTATAAATATTGTTATAAAAAAAAATTAAATATTGTTATAAATATTGATATGAATAATATTTATAAATGAAATAATATTTATATTATATATTAATATTACTATAAATATTTAATGAATTATTTATATTTATTAAATTATTTAAAATTATATTATTATATTTATATTAATATTTATATTAAATTATATTACCGTTGTAATATAAATATATAATATATGATATAAATAGGATATATATATATATATATATATATATATATATATATATAAAAGTGTATATATATATATATATATATATATATATATATATATATATATATATAATTGTTTATATATATATATATATATATATATATATATTGTTTATATATTATAAGCGCCGTACTTATTAGAAAGCGCTCAAATATCAGAGATAAAGCTAACATATTTAGTTGGATTGATGTGAGTTTGTGACGCTGGGTTTCATGCTATGGTCTGACAATTGCAAATAGCATGAAACCCAGGGTCACAAACTCACATCAATCCAACCATATATGCTATATATTATATAATATATAAGTATGATATATAATATATAATATTTTTTGATATTTAATACATATTATATGATATAAATTATATGATATATAATTTATAATATTAAATAATATAAAATTAAATAATATATAACATTATATCCTTTATAATATATAATATTATATGATATATAATATGTAAGTATAATATAAATATATTTACCTATATCTTCATTTATATTTAGAATAATTATTGAATTGTTTATATTTATGTTATTATATTTATATCATATTATGATAATATTTATATTTTTATAAACATTGTTATAAATATATGTTGTTATAAATAAGATTGCTATAGATTTGATAAAATTATTGTTATAAAATAATAAGAAATAAATAAATAAATTTATAAGTATTGGCAGAAAACAATAGTTTAATTTATTTTTAAAATTTTGTTCGCTGTTATATATCACTAACTTCAGTATGAATGATTCATTATAATATAAATTGTACTGCAGCACATATTTGATATATATATATATATATATATATATATGTGTGTGTGTGTGTGTGTGTGTGTGTGTGTGTGTGATCGAAATAAAAGTATAAAACTTAATATTACGAGACATATTAAAAAAAAAACGGGTGAAGCAACCGGTTTCTCTCCCTCTCTTCAGGCTTCAACGGCAGATTTAAAATTAACACAGAAAAATGTACAATAAAAGGAATTGTAAAAAAAAAACAAATATGCAAAAGGAACTAGAAACAAATAACAGCGAGTCCCAACAAACACTCACGTTGTTTGCACAAAGAAGGCTTACGGGACCCGATGTAAAGTGCCTCCAGAATCTTTAGATGAAATAAAGAGTGAGACCGGGACAACACGGTGAACCAGTCTTTATTTATTTTGTAAATAATACAAAATTGTGGAACAAGGCCGAAGGGGTCGTGGGGAAAGGTTGATCTTTCACTAGCTAACCTATTCCTAGTTAAACAAAATCGCGACCCATTCATTCATTACAATTACACATTCACCACAAAAACTCATCCATCCTCTATCACTTCAGCACACACCACAATACCTCATATACACAGGGGACCTACCAAAGACCCCCTGAATTAAAAATTTTAATGTTCATATATATATATATATATATACATAAAAATTCAATGAAACACAAAATGATGGGGAAGGGTCTATGAAACCCAATAATAAAATTAAAATATCAACCGAAAACAAAGCAAAACCAAAATAATGTTAGTAGGACCCGTCTACCCCTCAAAAATCATGAAAGTGTCCGCTGTATTCTGTCAATAGACAAAATCAAGAAGCACACTCGCTAACGGAATGGGGAGGGGAAAAATAAATGACGGAATGGGGAAATCAAAAGCTGACTCTGCCGAGATGAAAAGTGGGGACAAAAACAAACTGGGGAGATTGGGAATCTCGACGTATGCCATAACAAAAGAAAAGCCGGGCACAGGCCAGAAACAATACTTATTCACATTAACTAGGAACACAAAATATAGACTACCTTAACCAGGATGGGGGTCCATAGGAAACCGCCCCGTTGCACTAAGGGCACTTAAAAAAGAAAATCAAGGCTAGCCGTGTCCACACGAACATGGCTCGCTACAGTTACCCACCTTTCGCTGAAATCTGTCAAAATCAAACGCTTTCGATCCGATCTGATTTTCACCCTAAGCTGATGCTTAAAGAACAAAATCAGATCCTGATATGAAAAACGATCAGTTCGCAAGATTCCATCCTTTCGCGACATCCACACGACCATTCTAGCCACGGCTAGCAACGTAAAAAGCACTATCCGTTTTACCCCGGAGTACGGGAGCGACTCATTGTCACACACGTACGAGATATCAATGGACACAAGCTGCTCGGGAGCGATACGAGCCGTCAACTCGCCGACATAATCCCAGAATGGGCGCACCCGAGGACAATGGTAGAAGGCGTGGGAAGCCGTTTCCTGTAAACCAAGGTCACACCGGTAACAATCTGGCAAATCTGCCTCGCCCATCTTGAAGAGAATGTCATTGAGAGGTAGCACATTCCGAATCAATCGCCAGCTAAGCGAAGACTCAGGGTTGGTGAGATAATCCGCCGCTGGCGCCCAAGACCAGAAAGAGCGCAACTCTAATGCCAACAAGCCGAGCCGGTCACCCAGAGGATCCTTCGCGACCCCCTCCACTAACACATGATACAATAGTCTCCGACGCCGAGGAATGACCTTCAAGGTCGACCGACACACGCTGAGGAACTTCGACAACCTTCCCCGACCGCCACGGCGTTTCCCCCCAAAAATGGGGGGAATGATGGTAAGGCGAGGGAAAACATCCCTAACACTCGGCGCCAATATCGAATCCTCCGTCAAAACGCGGCGTAGGAAGGCCAACCTCGAGGCATCCCAGCACCCCATGACACGGACGCTGACAACAGGCTTCTTTGCGGACTCAATGCTTGCGACAAGAGGTCGGCCAACAAGCGCTCGATCGCCTCCATACGTTTCCTGCAAAGAGGAAGTACAGCCAAGCGGTAAAAATAAGGGGCAAGACGTAATTGGCACACGCCTCGGCCCTACCCTTTAAGGACAGCCTCCTTCGACGCCAAGTCTGGACCGACGCTCCGACCTTTGCCTGTACTTCTGACCAATTCTTCTCCAGCTGGAGTCCGGGCCCGAACCATACCCAAAGGATGCGGACAGGTCCATCCGCCCAGCCGAAGGGCCTCGGAAGCGCGACCCCCTTCCAGGTACCTAACCGCAAGCCGGAAGACTTGTTGCGGTTAATCTTGGCCCCTGTCACCTTCTCGTACCGTTCAAGCGCCTTCTGCACAACCTTCATGTCGCTGCGTCACGACACAAAGATGGATACGTCATCGGCGTACGCAGAATCCCTGGCTCGAGCTCTATCAGGGAAAACGGCAATTCCGCGTAGGGCCAGAATGCACGCCTCATCCCTCAACCGGCGAAGGAAGGGTTCCAGCGCCAAAGCGTAAAGTCTGTTCGACAGCGGGCACCTCTCTCATACCGACCGATTCAGCTCAAATGCGCTCGATCGCCTTCCGTTCACCTGTACCACAGCACTGGGGGAGAGATACAGGAGGCCAATCAACCTGCAGAAGACGGATTCGAATCCGGCGGCCTGCAGGACAGCCGCCAGGTACTCATGGTCGACCCTGTCAAATGCCTTGGACTGATCCAAATTGATCTGCGCGGCCTGCTTGACGTTTTTTTACGCTCTCTAAGATCGTGCAGATCAGATGCAGGTTGCTTTGAATCGTTCGTCCCCTCACAGCACAAGTCTGCTCAGGTCCCAACAAGCTCGCGACAACTGACTGCAAATGCTCCTACAGGATCTTGGCCAAAATCTTTAACTCTGTGTTTCGCAGAGTTATGGGCCTGTAATTATCTAAATCCCGCCCAACATCCTTGCCCTTTTTCAACAGAGTGATCACCCCCCCCTAGAAATCCGGTTGGGGATGGACCCCTGTCGGAACCAGTTGTTGAACACCACTGTCAAAATCGGGACAAAGATGTGCGACAGCCTCAAGTACATTTCGTAGGGCAGATCATCAAGTCCCGGCGACTTGCCTCTGCCGGCCTTCTCCAATGCTAAGTAGACTTCGCCCTCTGTGATCTCACCCTCGCAGCTAGCTTCTTCAGTCGGCGAGAGCCGAGGAAACTCAGCTAAATAGCTACGAAACTCGTCGCCACTGAGACCAGGCTCCTTGGTAAAACGGCTCTCGAAATACCGCCGAAACGCCTCGCACATATACTTGGTCGACCTCAGAGTACGCCCCTCCGGGGTAATGACCTCACGAATGTATCGATCGGAACCTCGACGGATCTCTTCCTGGCGCAATTCTGCACCCATGTTCACGGCCTCGTTAGACATCTTGTTTAACCTATGTCTGACTACCTGACCCTGATAGCGCTTGCTAGCCTCACGCTTCAGGGCCTGCCTAGCTATGGCTATCTCTAGGGAATCCCCCCAGCCACCGCCCGGGAAAGACTATCCTCTAAAGTCTTCACCTTTTCAGCCTTATGTAGGGCGAGTCGTTGGCTAAATTCAGTGGAGAAGACCCTAATCCTATCCTTAAGATTCTCCACCACCTACTCCCAATATCCGCCCCCACTAATTCCCACTGCACTAAATCTAGTTAGCTGTTGCTGAAAATCCCTCCTGTCCAGTAAGGATAGATTGAACTTCCAGTGTCCAGCCATTCTAGGCCTAGTACCTAACACCATCCAGGCACAGACGAGTCTGTGATCTGAATAGTCTACCTGGTGGAACGTGGGACAATCTAGTAAATCTAGATCCACTCTTCTCACTAACATTCTGTTCAGGTAGCTGGCTACCTGGAGAGACGGCCAACTATGAGCCTACGTCCACATCTCCCCCACTCGGATGATCAACCCGGTATCTATCGACGAGCCCAAACTCGCCGATCAGATCAACCAAGCTACGATCGGCCGATGCCTTCCCGCTAGCTCCCCGCCCCCTATATATCTTGGGGTCCAGGACGGCATTCCAGTCCCCTATTAAGACTAAGCGCGAAGAATCAACCAAGAACGGTCCCAACTGATGGAAAATGTCGACGCGCTCACTCTGGTCATTGGGCGCATACACTGCAACGACCCGAAACGCACCACTGCTCACGGCAATATTAGCCACGATCAACGGGTCCCCCACGCCCAAGGCCTACCCTCACCCCCAGGGAACGTTTAACCAACAAGGAAACACCTCTGGCCTGCTGGTCCCCATATGCTGAATAGACGACAAAGTCGCTAGGCAGCACACGAGCATCAGTCTCGTAAATAAAGTGTGTCTCCTGGATCGCAGCCACATCCACTCCGAAGGACCTGAAATCACAAAGCAGGAGGGAACCGTACCCCGATCTCTCAGGCCCCTCACATTCAAACTGTCTAGCTTAATAGACATGATTTAAGCCTAGTTCCCTTCAACACAGACTGGCCGGAAATCTACGGGTGTCAAGACCCAGACGGATTGTCCCAGAATCTCGGTACCTACATCGGACGTAATTCGTCCTTCTGTGACAATACAGCCAACGTCTGTGGGGAAAGTTAATTTTATCACCCTATATAGTGAGGGATGGAGAAGAACTGGGGCCCTCCCTGCGCAATACTGCGCCATTTTTTTACGCTCCGTCTGAAGCATCCGGAGTTTCGGAAACTCATCTTTTGCTTCCGCCAGATAGTCCCAGATTTTAAGTTTACCCCCGGTATTCCTGATCAATGTAATAACACCGGGGGCGCCAGGAAAGTTCCTTGGATCCTCTGTTGATGGCAAATCAACAGAGGTGCACTTGAAAAGAGGCCTCAAGTGCGCCTAACTCTGGGAGGAAAAGTCCCTCTCGAGACGCACGCGGTCCACCACACAAATTTTCTCCCCTCTGGACCAATGCCTCCCCTTTTTGTCTTTGGATTGGTGGGTGGGGGGGAGTGGGAAGACGGAACCCTAGTAGGAGAAGAGTATTGGCTTCTCGTCTTACCTTGTTGACGATCTTTTGCCGTTCTGTCTGGTGATGCCGTCGCGGAAAATACCTTCTCCGCCTTACTCCGACTTGCTCTCCTTTCATTCTTTGTATTATTTATAAAGTCTTCTTCCTCCTCTTCGTCCTCACCCCTTCCTCTCTTCAATGACGAAGATCTAGGTGGAGGCCCCTCCTCCACCTCCATACCTGGGTCCACTTGTTCCGGTTGGACCTCTTTCTCAGCCAGCTGCTGCTGTTGCTGCTCCAGTTCCTGCTGCGCCGGTTGACGCTGCTGCTCGTGCTGCTGTTCTCGCTTCTGCTTCAGCTGCTTTTGTTTAGCAGCCCCTGTAGCGGGGCCATCCGACTTCTGCTGATATTGTTTGACGGCCACCCTTTCCTGCTGTTGTTTTTCTCCCTCCTTATCCGGGACGTCCTGCAGTTGTTCTGTAGCCGCCTGCTCCTGCTGCTTCTTTGCATCAGCGTTCTGCTCCTGCTGCTGACTGACTGCAGCCTTCTCCGGGAGCTCATGCTGCTGCTGCTGGAGAGGTGAGGTTGCCACTTTTGCTTTCCTCCTGACCACTTTCGTCCATTCGCTACCGGAAGCTTTCTTCGTTGATTCTTCTCTGGGCACCACTGATGTTGGTACCGGTGCCTGCTTCGCCGACGGTGCTGGCTTCTTGGTTGGAAACGTCTTGGCCAGGTGTCCAGCCGCACCACAAACCCAACAGAAGGGCCGGCGACCCTCAACCACCACAAAAATGCTTCGGTTACCACACAAAATTGTGTTGGGTACATCCTTAAAGCGTTGGTGGTTCAATGTCACCGTGATGATTGGACTCTTTTTCAATAGTGAACCTCAGTGCCGGATGGATACCATTTAAAAACGAAAGAAACTGGTCAGCCTCAACTTCACCGTTAAATAAACAAAAGGTGTCATCAACGTACCGACAATTGGCCATTTTGGATGTATTAGTACATCGCACATTATCAGGTTTTCTCACTTCCGTTTATAGAAAACCTACTTTCGCAGGGTTGTACACGCGTTGGGACTCTTTTTGTCCCACTAAGCGCAAGATTAACATTATTAAAACTCTCCTCCACAGAGCATTAAAGATCTGCTCTGAGCCTTTCTTGAACGACGAAATCTACTTTAAGGATACCCTATGTAATTTGGGTTATCCTCTTGATGGCGTTAATTCAGTTATCCGTTGTAAAGTTGAAGAGTTCAGAAGTGCCGAGCTCTACACTGTCAAAAAATGCCCAGTTTACCTCAGATTACCCTGGATTGGTACCAAATGTGAAAAAATAGCTAAACAAATTTCATCCAATGTTCGTTGTTGTTTTATCTGTGCTGAAGTTCGGATTATTTTTCAAACTCGGCCTATGTTTCGTTCTGCGTGTAAAGACGTTCTCCCTCACCATCAAATTAATTCAATTATTTATAAATACGTTTGTAGTTGCAGAGCCGACTACATCAGGAGAACAACTCAACGCTTATACATGAGAATAAAACAACACGTTCCTACGAAAATTAGAAATCACACCCTGACTTTGAATGGACTCGTCCCGAACACCTATAGTTCCGCCATATGCGAACACCTATTAAAGAACAGAGATTGTGCAAATTTAGTGTTGACTGGTTCAATCTGAAGTCGAACGTCTGGCTGACCGGCTGATCGGTTGATCGGTTGAACTCTCTGCCTTCGGACGGGGAGGAACCCGAACGAGTCTACGAGTCTCTTTCGGGGAGGTAAACCGACCCTGATACCCATTTATTTAAGGGCATATTTTTGGCCGAGACCACGAGCTCGGAGATCCCACGTTAAACCGGCCTTGTGCCACATGATGCCCTCGTCGGTGGGTGACTAAATACTAGTGTTGACTGGTTCAGCGTGTTGTCTCGGTCTCACTCATTATTTCATCTAAAGGTTCTGGAGGCACTTTACATCGAGTCCTGTAAGCCTTCGTTGTGCAAACAACGTGAGTGTTTGTTGGGACTCGCTGTCATTTGTTTCTAGTTCCTTTTGCATATTTTTTTTTCTTTTTTTTTTTACAATTCCTTTTATTGTACATTTTTCTGTGTTAATTTTAAAATCTCCCGTTGAAGCCTGAAGAGCGGGAGCGAAACCGGTTGCTTCATCCGTTTCTTTTTAATATGTCTCGTAATATTAAGTTTTATACTTTTAATTCGATCATTAAATTTTGTACCTACCAATATAAATATATATATATATATATATATATATATATATATATATATATATATATATAAAATTTAAGTGATTTAAAATGTTTTTTCGTTACGCAGTTTTTCAAAAATGGAAGCTATCAGCTTCGAATTTAATTTTAGTTAGACTTCAAAATTCGCTTGAGGAAGAAATGGAATTAATGTCTTTAATTTAATTACAAATTTAAATTCGAAGATTTTAGCTTCCATTTTTGAAACATGGTTAGAACTGCGTAGCGAAATAAAACGTATTTTAAATCAGTTACTTTATAATATTAATGCACTGTAAATGTACATTGATCTGTCTTTTGCAAAAATAAAAATATCTATAAGAACACCGGATTATATATCTTACTGTTTTTTTTCTTTATATATATATATATATATATATATATATATATATTGACAAATCGAACGTTTTGGTCTTTTTGGTTGCCTTGAATATGTTACTGTTGTTTTCTTAAATAATATCTTTTTCTTTCTTTTTATTTGCCGTGTCCTTTCCGGATGTAAGGGATCATGTTTCTCTATCCCTTTCAGCTCTCAATAAGTTTCATCCCTCTGCCACTTTCCCCAGATCTTGTTCTGCTATCTACTTAATTAAGCCCGCCAGGTATGTCAAGCATTGCTTTCCCTTGTCCCTTTTCCCCTCTATTCGACCTGTGAGTATCAGATTCTCCAGGCCCTCCTTTCTCTTTCCGTGTCCTAGAAATTCTTCTGCCTCTTCCTTATGTTAAGTATAAGCTTCCTCCTTGTATGCATCCTCTGCAAGACCTTATTGGACTCTTGCTCCATATCATTAGCACCCTTCTGTAGAACCACATCACTGCTGCGTCGAGTCTCTTCATCTTCGAGAAAACCGTCCAACATTCGCTGCCGTATAGAAGGACAGATATCACGTAGCAGCTGAATACTCTTTTTTTATTTTTCGCCAAAGAAATCCTGTCTCGCTGTACACTGCCTAGATTTTGGAATACATCCTTCGCCATCCCAATCCGTCTTCGGATCTTAGCGTCGCACTTAATATCCTCTTCCAAAACACTTCACAAATATTTAAACTACTGCACATGCTTGATTTTAGTGTTCCCGACCTGCAAATCGCAATTCAGGCTCATCTTTTTACTGATGACCATGGATTCTCTCTTCTTGTAGTTTATAGTTACTCCCTTCTTCTTGCTCTTCCTCGCTAAATTCTGTAGGAGGTTTTGTAGTTTCTTTTCCGTGTCTGCTATTAATACTGAGTCATATACGTATCTTATATTGGTAAGATTGTAGCCGCCAATGCTGAATCCCAGCACGATCTCCAATTTTCTCAGAATTGCCTTGCTGTATAGTTTGAATAAATACGCTGAGAAGCAACATCTTTGCCTTACGCCCCTTTCCAATTTTGTAAATACGCTAAAGTCATTCTAAATGCGCATGCGTACCGCTTGCTGCCAGTATAGGTTCTTGATTATTCTGATATCCCTCCCGAATATATCAAGGATGCTGAGCAGTTCCATCAGATCATTGTGGCGTACTTTGTCGAACGCCTTTGCGTAGTCTATAAAACACAGAAACACGTTCTTTTCCATTTGCATTTTTCTTTCTGATAACATTCAAATCATGAATATCGCGTTTCTTGTTCCTCTGATTTAACGAACTTGCACCATTTTTGTCCTATCTCTGGTCCGATTCTGCTGTAGGCCCTGTTATATCTCACTTATCCGCAATGTGAAAAATTCATAAAAAAGAAAACATGCTTGCTGGTCGTATATCTGAATATACATTTGTATCGTCAGGTATATTTTGTAGTCGTTCGAAGGAAATTTGAAGGAAAAATGAATGAATAATTTGTGTAGACGAAACAGTGTTGTGTCTATACGAAATATCTTGTGTAGCCTCTTCTAATATGTGTAATATCTTGGGTAGATTATTGTTTGTTAACAAGAAGTTTGTGAAATCGTATTGTCTATAGTTCTACATATTTTGAGGTGAAGATTTCTGATTTCTTGTTACAATGTTTATGTTGAGGGGTCCACCTTTTTTTTATACAAATGAATTCACCCAGTGTATACTTATACTACAGTCAGTGAAGACCCGAGAGAGCAAGACTGAAGAGTTGAATCCAGAGTGACAGAGTAAAAGGTTGTAGGTAACCGGAAGAGTGAGGGGTGAGGTAACAGCATTGTAGGAGTCACAGTGAGCGAGCACGTAGGCTCAGTAAGAAGTCATACACCGATACTTCAATACCAAAGACTGTATATATATTTTGGCTACTAACCCGTATTCCTGGAACTACTAACCTGCTTTACCAGTTTGTATTATTACGTTAATACATTATATTCATATATTCATTCCTGGCGTTTGTTATTTATTGGTACCGGATTTCAACCCGGAATCCACAACAGTTTATTAAGATAATCATAATCCTGAATAAAAAGTATTTTTCATTTTAATTGTAAACATCCTATATCTGTGTTTGAAATCTATAACCTGACCCGCTCGTCGTTTTCCTTATATTCTTATAGTTGTTGACTGTTTAGATGTTTGTTATTATGAATTTTGAGTAATGTACACATCGCTCTATATTGCGATTGTTCTGAATTCGAAATCCACTGGATACCTGAGAATTTAATTTTGCAAACGAATCTATCATTGTGTTTAGGCCTTGAGAGCGCTGAATGGGATCTATATTGTTGAGAGTATTATTTATTTCATGGCCTAGCAGCAAAAAACAAAATATGATTATGTCTTATTCTAAATGTTTGGTTTTATATAGAATATCCCCTTGGGAGAAAAGGAAATAATGTTCAACAAATTAAAAAAACTATTTTTCTAACTGTTGCTTCCGTCATGTCCAGTATTATTATAGTGTTCCGACATAAATAAAACAGGAGTGTTGTCGCACATAACATGTAACAAATTAATTCTGTGTGTGCGTAGCGTTTTTGATGACTGAGTATGAAGCGCTGACATTCATCACACGTGATATTTAATTTTTTAGCAAGATTTTCAGGGAAATTAATAAAAATTCCCTTATGATGAGGGATTTACGATAGATTCTGGAAAAAAAAAGTTTTGTAGCACGACGCAGTGAACCAACTTTCTAGTGGCAGATTTAGCAATCAATTCTATATAGTTCTTACACTTCATGCCAGTGAAAAATGTTAGCCTGTCTTTGAAACTAGCAGCAGCGATGCAGATGAAAAGCAGAATGGGCTCACTTAGAGGAATACTAGACAACAGTTTTATTTTGCAGGCGTTATAATTAACCAGCCTTTGCTTGTCCCAGTTGAGAATAGAATGTAGGTTATTCTTTTTAGATCAGCTGCCAATTTAACCTTATTGATCCTCAAATTTATTAATAAGTAAGGAATAAATTCTTGTGTCATCAGAATAGATACCGAGTCGAGAAATGACGCTCTCAGGAATGTCATTAATGAAAATAAGTAATACATAGATCCAAGGACGGAAAACTGGGGGACCTGTATTAATAGAAAAGATCTAGAAGGGTAGATAGAAATATATGACATGAAGGCGTCTACTCACCGATTAATAATCCTATCCAGCGAGACGACCCTAAGAGAAAAATATTATCAGCAGAAATAGTTTTAATAACATTATTCGCAAGGGACACAATATTGAAGGCTGACACATAAATGGAAGTCCTGTAATTCTTAGTAAAAGGGAATGAAAAGATTAACTACTAAGTTTAATTAGACAGAATG